TGACGCAACTCCACGTACGAGGGGGCGTTCACGTACCGCGAGGAATCACACGTCCGCTTCTGTTTGAGCTAAATCCGTGTTGCCCTTCAAAATAAAAGTTAAAATTAATGTATTAAAAAAATCATAATACAAGTCTGCCTGAAGCGAAGGGTATTCTGGATGGTGTTTTAAGTTATTGTTTATTTTTTAAGAGAGTTTCAACGTAAAATTATGGCTCAAGTTTCAAATATTCACATACACTCTCTTATTTTGAAAACTAATACCCTTTACGTTGCCAGTTATTCAAGTACTTAACGCGTCTCCACGTTTACCAGGAAGGACAGACTTTATGTGTCAACTAAAGTATTTTTGAATGGGCAGACTGACTTGAACGCCTCATTTTAAGTCTGCTCTGACCACATTCACAAAGAAACTTTACCGGGAGCGACATTCTTCCATCTGTACAGAAAGATTAGGTGAGTGTTTTACAAGCAGCTCATGTCGTGCTGTGAAATATCAGTCAGTTTTACTCCAATTGTGGCAACAACAACAAAGAAAAAAGTTGTAATTTGGCTGCTTAAGCAGGAGTTCTGGGTTTTATTTATCAGTGTTTCGTTTCAGTCTTGTGCAGTTTGGACTTTGACCTTCAGCCTAACTTCAAAACAAACTGCTAATGCAAATAAAAGGCTATAAATTGTGTTTCTATCGATTCTGAATGTCTTTTTTTTTATTTTTATTTTTTTTCCAGTTTTGTGGCAATTAATTAAAAAAATAGGAAACACGCTTTATATGTAAGCACGTGACGGAATTAAAACGAAACAAATTTAGTGGAGAAATTTATATTTTTTTTAGACGAGGAATGTTCCAAAAATAAATATACCTGCCTCTGCTGACGTCAGTGCCTTCTATTGTTCAGTGTGGTATTCTGCAGTTAGACAGGCTTAGGGCCACACAGGTGTGTTCAGGAGAAATGAGGCAGGTCGGCATCCTCAATATGCGCCCTGTGCTTGACTCGCTGCATGACGTCACAGACGCACAGGATGGCGGAGAAGGTGTTGGTCACAGGTGGAGCCGGTTACATCGGGAGCCACTGCGTGGTGGAGCTGATCGAAGCAGGTTACCAGCCGGTGGTGGTGGATAACTACAGCAACGCAGTCCGAGGTGAGGACCAGTTCCTTCAGAAAGGATAAAAAAAAAAAACTATGATTAAATGAAGCTCATCGATTATTAAGATCTGTGTGTGTGTTTGTGTCTTTGATGGAGGAGAGGGGAATGTGGCAGAGAGCATTCAGAGGATAGAGAAGCTTCTAAACACCACCATCGAATTTCACGAGCTGGACCTTCTGGATCGACCTGCACTGGAAAAACTCTTCAAAAAGGTCCGAATTTTGTTAAACATGATAACTAGTTTCTGCTAAGTCAGTATCTGTTGTGTTTTCTTCCCATTTTAAATACCAGAAGTTTGATTTTCTTTCGAAAATGTTTGATTGTACAGTTAGGAAATTGATTAGAATTATAACATGGTTTCTGGACACATTTGTTTCTTCACCACCATAAAATGTCCCCCACCACAAATAAATTTACTGATGACCACATGTGGATTCAGACTAGATTCGAATAAGTCAACTTGAAATTTCTAATTACTCTTGCACATAAAGAAAAAAACATTTTACAGTTAAGTTAATTGCTGCTTGTAAGTATTACAATGCATTCACATGGATTTCATTCTGCTTCATCTGCTGTGCAGCACTCTTTCAGTGCTGTGATGCACTTTGCCGGCCTGAAAGCAGTCGGGGAGTCGGTGGAGCAGCCGCTGCGTTACTACAGAGTCAACCTCACTGCTTCCATAAACCTGATGGAGGTCAGTTCCATGTTGCACAAACAGCCTCCATTCAGTCTGCACAACTCTGTCTTCATCCTGCTCTACGCTCAACTTTATTTACACAATTCCTCACCTTTGTTTGCCGACTTCACAACATCTGCCACATAGACAGTCTCTTACCAAAGTAATCACATCTTTTGCCACAGTTTGTCACCGAATGTATTTTATTAGGAAACAGTTTACGTTCCGTTGCAGCACGAGGGAACATAGAACATGCCGTGAAATTTTGATGGAGAAAGAAAACAATATGTTCAAGATGCAAGTTCGGGATGCAAACTTCGGCCAGTGAAAAGAAAGCTGGTCATCATTCATAGCACAAAATGCTGAGAAATCAGGAGAATCCTTTATGAAAACATTTTAAATGAAGAAGATTCATCTTCTAGCAGGTGTTTGGATGGCCTAGTTAAAGTCCAAATCACAATTACAAAGTGAGTCTTGTTGAGGCGAAGTTTGACCTTTTTACAGGAATTCTTAGGTTTAATTAAAAGCATTGGATTGATTAGTGTAGATTTTTAAAGCTGCTTGTTTCATTTAATAAACTTTGTTTGCAACAAGAGGCATTTCTGCACATTATTGACTTAAGTGGGCTGGATATAAATGCAAACCACATCCACATACAATATTTTCATTTGTAAAAAAAAAAAAGTTTTCTGTTGGAATATAAAATAAAAGCATGCCTTAATATTTCTCTGCTAGATCAGGCTTTCTGCTTTTTCTCAGTTGACTGCGGCTAACTGTATGCGTTGCTGTCTTTGTGCGTCGTCATGTGTCTCAGGTGATGCAGGCTCACAAGGTGCACAATCTGGTCTTCAGCAGCTCTGCCACGGTGTATGGAGACCCTCAGTACCTCCCCATAGATGAGCAGCACCCTGTGGGCGCGTGCACCAACCCATACGGCAAAACCAAGTACTTCATAGAAGAGATGATCAAGGATCACTGTAAATCTGAGAAGGTGCTCACCGGAGTGCTTAAAGAATCTCAGAGAAGTGCACCGTTTCTCCTCACCAAGGGGATAACACTTGCTTCTTGTGTGCAGGACTGGAATGCTGTGCTGCTGCGCTACTTCAACCCTATCGGAGCTCATGCCTCAGGTCAGATTGGAGAGGACCCTCAGGGCATCCCAAACAACTTAATGCCTTATGTAGCTCAGGTAAAAGCACAGCAACATCAGCGGGACTCTGTGGGTGTAAATTCATCTCACTGAATCTGTTGCCTTTTTATGATCCACGTAGGTCGCGGTTGGGAGGAGACCATTTCTCAATGTATTTGGAAATGACTATGAAACAGTCGATGGAACAGGCAAGGACAGAGGGGTTTTCTTTTTAGCTTTGAAAGTACCAATTAAATATTCATAACGATGCAACTTTTTCATTGTCTGTTGTAGGAGTTCGGGATTATATCCATGTAGTAGACCTGGCAAAAGGACATATAGCTGCTCTGAAGAAACTGAAGGACAACTGTGGATGCCAGGTATATTTCAGTTATCTTTTGACCATTTATGTTGACCAGATATAGTTAGTCCTGCTATATTATCTGCGTTTTCTTTTATTTTTGTGTTTAGGTTTACAATCTTGGCACAGGAACGGGCTACTCTGTGCTCCAGATGGTGAAAGCGATGGAGAAGGCTTCAGGAAAAGAGGCAAGTCATTAAACTCCCACAAGCACAAAATCATGGTTTTGTTTGCATCCTTGTTGGAATATGTAATTACTAATATTCAGTACATTAAAGAATAAGATGACTTCTAAATGTATTCAAGTTTTGTTATAGATTATTCATTTATCTTTTCTTACATAGATTAAATACAAGATTGCACCTCGTAGAGAAGGAGATATAGCATCCTGCTATGCAGACCCCAGCCTAGCTGAGAAAGAGCTTGGCTGGACAGCTGCCTTTCACTTGGAAAAAATGTGTAAGTGAGCCATACATTCATTTTTACTGATGAATCTAGTAAAAATATAAATTTTTAGTGTTTCACAAAAACATTTCAGAAACTGTATCACATTTTGTCACACTAGAGCCACAAGCTTCAGTAAGTTTTATTGAAATTTTATGGGAAACAGATAAACTATTTTTCATTTCTTGAAACAAACATTTTTCAATCGCCTCCTGAGTCAAAGCAGTGTAGATGTAAAGCAGCACGTCTTCTTCGTTACATCTAGCTTACACAGGTAGAGTTTGAATTTTTTTTTTTTTTGCTCATTTTATTTTGCAAAATACCTCTAGCAATGTGAACATAAATTTTGAAGTCTTGCCACAAATTCCAAATCATTTTTAGGTCAGGGCTCTGACTTGGCCACTCAAACACCTGACAAAAGCGCTGAAAGGCAAACCTCCAGCCCAGTCTCAACTGTTTTACAGTCTACAACAGATTATTGCCCAGGTTCCCCATCCTCCACACGTTTACATCGGCCCCTTTATTGCAAATGGAGGCCTCTGATGGCTACGTTCTCCATTTTCACACAAGACTGAGCAGTCTTTACAAACAGCTGCACTGATACTGATATTGAATTACAAATTACTGAGAGGTGGATTCAGAAAAAGATGGTTGCACACTAAAGTTTACTTAGGATCATCTGAGTAAAAGAGGCGAAGAAACCAAATACACGCCGCACTTTTCAGTTTTTTCTTTTTTGTTTTTTATGTAGAGCATGTGATCATTTTTTCTTGCACTCTCACAAGCATGCACTATATGTCAAATGCAGCACACTGACATCTCTCATTTTTTTCTAAAGTGACAAAATAAAGAAAACTGCCTTAAGATGTCATCCACAATAACTTTTAATGTTTCTGCATCCTGTGTTGTGTAGGTGAAGACCTGTGGCGCTGGCAATCCATGAATCCCACTGGGTTCACCAATGGCGAACCCTTTTGATGCTTCTTTGGAAATCGTCCACATAAAACTGTGGCTATAAACTGTAAACTGTTTCAAGACATTTTATACAAGAGGAAACATGTATAAATCAAATTTTTCGAATTCAGATTTAATAAGGGATTCTTTACAAATGGAAAAATAAATAAATGCTCCTACAGAATAAATCACTTTCACTCTTTTGGTTAATTTTGAGTTTGACTTATATTCCATCAAAAATCTATTAAATCTCATTAAAGTTGAAATGTGTTGTGAGATTAATATAGAAGGCTTCAGTGACACAAATTAGAACAACGCTGGTTTCAATATGCACCCTTCTGCATTTATAATAAGGTTGAAGTGAGCTCAGTTCATCACAGACTCCTAAATACTGTGTAAATATTGCACTATTCACTTGTTCATTTTAAAAGGGTCGCTGGGGCTTTAAATGGCTCCTTGAACCTTCGGGCACCCAGTTAATAAACACCCACGTCAGCACAGAGCTCCAGTCGCTCCGACCGGGTTTCGGTCTTTAGGGCTGAGCAGGAAGTGTCTGCCTGTGGACCCTGGACGAGGGGGAAAGAAAGCAGAGGGGGGCGACGCGGCGAGGTAACGTGAGATAAAATGGATATGGTGGCGGATTTGGGGGCGAGCAGGCTCTATCGGGCGCCGGGTGAATCCAGCCACCAGTGAGTATTGATGGTTTTTTTTTTTTTTTTTTCCAGAGGGAGGGGGGGGCAGATCAGGATATGGGGCGTAAGCGGGTCTCGGCGACACCTCGCCTGAGAACGAGCCGCTCTCTCTGGGCAGCAGGCGAATCCTCCCCCGCTGCTCGTCGCGCTCCGGACCTCCAGCTTGGAGTGGAGTGGAGTGGAGTGGAGTGGGGGGCGGGATGGGGAGGGGTGGCCTCGTGGATAGAAAAAACGGGCGTTTTTAGCGCATCGGACCTTAACGGTGTCAGTGTTTTTTACTGCTCTGCACGCAGGACGGTCGCCTGTCTGTTTTCTCCATTGTGTGCTTGGCTGGAGCCTGAAGTGGGCGTCGCTCCAGGACAGGCTGGGCTGCTCCGGTGCGGCGCTGCCCGCTTTTCTCTCGCAGGACTGCAGCACTGTCGTGTCGTTTTGTAGGTCGAATGGTGCCTCGGCGAAAGGATAATGGCTCAGCTCAGACATCCCCTTTGGTTTTGAGCGTAAAAGAAATGGCCACAGAGTACCTCGGGTGTTTCACCGTGGGCTCATCGGGCGCTGCCCGGCCTTTCTGATGGCACGGCGGTGCAATTGACATACGAACGCTTTGAGAATCTTGCGCCTCAGAAAAAAAAAAAAAAAAAAAAACAGACACCATTCTTCAAATGGGGTTGAGAGAGATTTTATTTATTTTCCTTTGGACTGCATGTCCAGCTGCAGCCTTTTTAGATCATTTTCTACTTTTCATCATCAGGGTTTCCTTAGCCACTTTGAACTCAGCATACGGGAATGTTTAAAAGGTTTGTCACCCGAACCTCTCTGACTGGAGTCGGGCGTAACCCATTAAAAGGACTTGCTTCGAATGAAGGATCTCTTAGCCAATCACAGTGGAGAAAGAAATCATGTAGGCGGGGTCGTCTAGTGCAGACAAAGATACATTAAATTACAGGTTGATCTGAGGTGCATTTACTCTCGTTTGTTTTGATATCGCACACATGAATATTACAAATAATATTGAAATCTTTTTTTTTTTTTAACATAGATTTTAAGACATTTCCAATGACTTTGTTCCAATAACGACATTGTTATGGTAATGTGAATTTTCAGTAATGTGCAAAACAATCATGCAGCTAGAGATGTTATTGGGATTGGTACTGGACAGATCAAATCAAAGTAGTGCAAAAATCCAGGCGCAAGGTGGCACTGGAGGAGATGGCGGATGTGAGAATTACTTTAAACGGAACATTTTCTGTCATTTGTCATCTAAACAAGATTTATTTGGCATTTATGCACTTGTAGGCACCCCAACATGCTGCAAACCAACTATGGGATACACTCAACATCTGGAAGAAGGGGCTTAGTCAGATCAGACTGGAATGTAACTTGTACGACTTTGAAAATAAATAATCAATCCCCTTTCTGTTCAGTTATGCACTGATTTATTTTATTCCATTCCATAATTTCCTAATAGTTTATTTGTGGCAGCAACATTACAACATGTGAAAAAGTTCAACAGATATTGTTTATAAGTTCAGTGGAATATAAAATTCTAGCTTTAATAATATTTTGTTGTGACAAATGCAGTCCGTTTGTATTTGACATTTACAGGTACTGGTACTGCTGTCGCTTTGTCTCCTGCAGGCAACCTCAGAGGTGGTTCAACACGGCCGACATCACTGCATCTCACCAGAGCAACCTTTTGAAGCAGCTAAACGAGCAGCGCCGGCAGGAGCTTTTTTGCGACTGCAGTGTGTTGGTTGAGGGCCAGCTCTTTAGGGCCCACCGGAACGTCTTGTTTGCCAGCAGCGGCTACTTCCGGATGCTGCTGTCTCAGGGGCCAGACGAGCTGCCAGAAACTGTCAATGCCACCTTCGACGTCTTCAGCCCAGAGACTTTCACCGTCATCCTGGATTTTATCTACTCCGGGCAGCTGGATCTGTCCAGTCACAATGTGATCGAGGTCATGTCCGCGGCCAGCTACTTGCAGATGAACAGTGTCATCACATACTGCAAAAATTTCATCAAATCTTCCCTGGACATTAGTGTAAAGGACGAAGACAGTGACCGCTGCCATAGCCTGTCTGAGACCTGTTCTTTCACCAGCGGAGCAGGAGAAGAGTCTACAGAGCATCCGCAGCAAGGCCCCCGCTCCGTCAGCCCACCACCTGCACTCTGGACCCGGGACAACTCCAGGTCCCAGTCCAGTTTTATGGGGAAGGAGCCGGAGCAGGAAGGTGTGGTCTCAGCCCTTAAGACTGACCCAAGCAGCCCTGCTAATGAGCTCAGTGCAGAGACAGATGATCTGCATGACCCTCAGGACCCTCTGTACACACTACCAGGATCAGAGCGCCGACGTGGGAAAGCAGGGACCAAACGGAGAGCTCCCAACAGCATTCGTTCTGGCCAGCATGAAGACCTGGATATTCAGGAGGCGAGAACCCTAAAGGCTGAGAAAGCAGAGGAGCTTTACGCCACATTACCTCCAATTGTTGGTGTTATTGGCCACTTTAATAAAGGTTTGTTTGTCTCTACACACCATCAACAGCTTTGCTAGAGATATTATTGATGAACAGATTTGAATGACATGAGTCTTATTTGATAAGACCAATATTTCAGCCATATCTCATAATTTTTGCAGATTCCAACCCTGTTATGCGTTTTAAATGCCCATTTTGCACACACACTGTGAAGAGGAAGGCAGACCTGAAGCGTCACCTGCGCTGTCACACCGGAGAGAGACCGTACCCATGTCAGGCCTGCAATAAGCGCTTCACCCGCCTGGAGCACCTACGTAGCCACTTTGAGACGGTAGGTCTTCTCAGAGTCTGTAGCTGCGTTTTTTTTTTAAATAAAATATCGGGTTAGAGCTCTCTTCATATACAATTCTGTGGATAAAATTCAAAAAGAAGCTACATGCTATTCAGTTTAGCTTGATTCGTATACCCCACTTTGCAGTGTGGAGGAAACAAATGCATTAGAAAAAAAAAGGAATGTTTTAATGTGATGGCATGATAGGGGAATACCTTTGTGATGCCGCGAGGTTAAAGTACTGAGCTATTTTTGTCTTTCATCACTCTGGGACAAGGTGTTCTACTTTTACATGAAGGTTATAGGACATGTTGAGGTTTTATACTGTATTTAGGGTAAGGTTATACTATGTATCAAATCTTACAACATTTTATTAAAAACATTTAGGATAGAAGAAAACAGCATCATCAATAAATATGCATATGGAACACCAAACCAAAACCTTGACCCACAGTGGAATCTCCAACTGTGGGCTTCATTTAACAGTGACCTAGTGGGCTCGAGATGAGCCTCCTATTTCTGTGAAGCTGGATATGAGTTTTAACTATTGGAGAAACATTGGTGGATTTGGTTAGTACACAAGTGGGAGAACCCTATTATTAAATATGGGCAAAATCTTGCCCATCATTGATGTCTGGGCTCAGAGTGGGAAGTCATCTGCTGAATCTCCAGAAGAAGTCTACTGGTAAGAGAAGTCCTCACAGTCTGAAAGATTTGGAGAAGTTATGGAAGAGCGGGAAAATATTGCCAAGTGATCTCTACCGGTAGACTCCAGCCATTATTAACCACTTTTATGACCTTATATAAATGATTAAAATCTGGACTAAATTATAAAAGAAAAACGGAATTGCATTTTAACTGTTTTGTGGCTTTCCTCAGATTCACCAAGCCAGGAAACTGGTGTGCAGGAAGTGCAAATGTCAGGTGACAGAGGAAACTGGGCATGTGGTGTGCGAGGGCACACGCCGCTACCGCATCTGCACCACCTGCATTCAGGAGGTGGGCTGTGATGACATTCCCATGGACGGTCTGCAGACGCCCAATGAGGAGCCAGCGCTGTTATTAGGTGTGGACGGTGAGGAGGAGGGCGACACCAAGAGAAACTGGATGGTGAATGATGAAGATGATCTTGCTGAAGACTCGGGTGCAGATCTCATCATCCAGCAAGTGGAAGACAGCGACGAGGAGCTGCAGTGAAGAAGGACCAAACTATGTGCAGATGTATTGACGGTTTGCATCTCAGTGTTAAAGCAATGCAAAAAGAAAAAATAAAATAATAATAAAATAAAATTGTAGTCTGGAGATGTAAGCTCTCAGTTTGTTGGGTGTATCAAACACAGGAATCATTCATTTCGAACCAGTGGGGAAAACAAAAACTGCTTTTTGTAAATGTTGCTAAAGTTATGCAGTATCCAAAGCATGCATTTGAATTTTTATGTTTTGGTTGAGTTGTTGTATTACAATGATTTTAATAAGTGTTTCTTCATTTGAATGCATGAAAAGACACTATGTCTTTGCAGAGATTTGGGACTTTTTATTAGCAATGAACCCAAAATGTTGATCCAGACTAAATGGCAGCTTTTAAGGATTTTTCAAGTTTAAGGAGACATCATTTTGTTTTAAGTGTTTGTCTGGAACTCTCTGATTTCCTGTTTATTATATGCACTATGGTATAATCAATTATAATTTATTTATTACTTTTTATTTTTACGTTGACACATTAAATATATTTTTATACACCTGTGCCCGAGTCATCATTAGATGTGAGTTGTAGCTGAACTACTATGTCTCTACCAGCTATTCATCTGTGCAATGTACTTTCAAAAAGGAGAACAAAGCTTTCGTATTCTGAAATATGAAAATCTTCAAGTTGAAAAGCTAAAGAAAATATTTACAAAAACACATTTGCTAATTTTTAAGTAAAATTCCATAGTATATTTTGAGATCCAATCAACACAATATAATTTTTGTGAAGTCTACCTACAAAAAATTATGAGTACTAAGACTCCAGAAAACCTTTTCTTTTTTTAACCATGAAATGTCAAATTATTCTTAATTTTGTTTGATCAGGGAGAAAATATGTGTACTTTCTCTACGTGAGTGAAGTTGTCTCACCAGGAATCAGAACTGCAATCAATAGAAATGAGCCACAACACTCAGTCTTCAGGAAATAAAATTATTTCTATGTTTTATTTAGCAGTTTTCTTCTTCAAATTGAATTTAAACCTAAATTATCAAGTGAGATTAACTGGTGCTCTGAGGTTGGTGTATGAAATGGGTTTGTTTTCAGGTGCAGAACTGAAGTAAGTAAATATCAACACTGTCCACAACGTGGATATAAATGTGTGAAGAGGTGATCTGACTCAACTTATTTTTGAGTCAGATTTATTTATATTGATATTTTATTTTGCTATACTGACACTTCTGGGATCCAGTTTTTAGCTGACATTTAATTGAAAAAGATATTTTTAAAACAATAAGGCCATAACAATATTTTTTCTTCTGTGTAGTGACTAAAAGAATGTGCAATAAATAAATGTTTTTTTTTCTTCTATATCCTATCGGTTCTTATTCACTACCTAATTATCGCCAGTAGATGGCGCCTGCGCATTTTTTTATTTTTTTAATAAGAAAACGTCACAACTCGCGTTTCCAGGAAGTATGACGTCAGGCTGCTGTTAGCCAGCTGGTGATGGCTGCTGCAATGAGGCTTGTCAACAGAACCACTTTAACATTAAGAATGGGTCAGCAATATATGTCGTTCCGCTCCGCACCAAAGGAGAAGACGGTTAGTTCTGGGTTTTTTATTCCCCCGTTGTTTGAACTAAACGGTTGGCGCCGTAAAGAACATCGGTCTCCAAATAGCCATTAGCCTTCGCTTGAAGCTGGTTGTGTTTGGTGGGTCTTGAGGAGACTCTGCAGTTCAGCTTTGACTCTTACTTGTATTTGATTTCACCTGTCGGTGGTTCTGTGTGTCTTCTTGCCTTCAGGCATGTGTGAAAGCTGCTCATGCTCTCCCGCAAACGGTGAAAATAGTGGAAGTTGGACCCAGAGACGGTCTTCAAAATGAAAAGGTACACTCGTGTAAATAAATAAACCACGTCTTTTAGTAATGTTTTGCTTTATTTAATTTTCAAACCATAAGATTAACCAAATGAAGCTTAATGACGATTTACAACTAAATGTTTATCCAAGGGGAGCAGGTGCTTTTTGTGTCTTTCAGGAATTTCAGTGAAGTTCATAATATAATAGACATTTATTTATTTTTAGCTTTAAAAAATCACAATTACAACAAAATAGTTTTGTTTTATTTATTGTATTCTTACATTGTTTTGATTTTGATGTGTTTTTGTGTAATCACTGACAGTACAGGCATTATAACATGTTAATTTTACAAGCTTTACAAGCTTGATTGGACACATCTCATACAAATTGTTCTCTCATTTTTAATTATGTAACTATAATTATGTAATACAGCAAAGATGTTTTTAGCTGTTTTTGTTTCAGTTTTTTTTACAATTCTGATTTTTTGTATTAAGGTTAAGACGTAACCTTAAAAAAAAGCAAAATACCTTTAAATATAAAGTAAAATTGTTGCCCCTGTGGTTCAGTGAGCAAAAGAATAGGTGTGGCAACATGATACAACCTGGTGAAATAACACGAGTCATGCATAGTTGGCATTATTTATCAGCTGTTCTTCATTTTTTTGTATTTTATTATTCTATCCCTTAGACTGTCGTCCCAACAGAGGCGAAAATCAATTTAATTAACATGTTGTCAGAGTCTGGACTTCCAGTCATTGAGGCCACCAGCTTTGTGTCCCCTAAATGGGTTCCTCAGGTAAGCATTTTAGAACAAACCCCACTCCAACTTCAGCATGTAAGAATAAATTGAGCTTTGTTTTTTGTTGTTATTGTCTTTTTTATATACTAATCGGTGTCTGTTGTTTAAATATCAGATGGCAGATCAAGTAGAGGTAATGAAAGGTATCAGTAAGAAACCAGGAGTGTCTTATCCAGTCCTAACGCCAAACCTAAAAGGTTTTCAAGCTGCTGTGAGTGCTGCACATTCCTGTATCCCTGTGTCAGCCCTGAATAGATACTGAATGTTCAGGTTTTAATACAGTAGGTAATAGCTCTAAAACATGTTTTGATCTCTTGTGCTGCAGCTAAAGGCCGGAGCTTCAGAGGTGGCCATATTTGGTGCTGCATCTGAGCTGTTTAGCAAGAAGAACATAAACTGCTCTGTGGAGGAGAGTTTACAGCGCTTCGAGGAGGTCATGAAGGCAGCTAAAGAAGCTGCTGTGCCAGTTCGGGGGTATAATTACCAGCATCCTCGCCACTCTCAGTAAACCTTTAAATAATTTGGACTTGCTCTTGAACTCTTTCATCCATGTTTCTCGTCACTACAGTTATGTCTCGTGCGTCGTGGGATGTCCGTATGAAGGCCAGGTGGCGCCTGAAAAAGTTGCACATGTGAGTTCTGGCTCAAAAGATGTCGAGCTTGTTCAGCAAATAGGTCATTCGTCATCTTTTGCAAAACAGCCAGATGCAAAGCACTTAAGATTTGTTTCTGTCTCACAGGTGGCGAAGTGCCTGTACTCTATGGGCTGTTACGAGATTTCTCTGGGTGACACTATTGGAGTGGGGACTCCTGGAAGTATGACTAAGATGTTGGAAGCTGTGACCAAAGAAGTGCCAGTCAGCGCTTTAGCTGTTCACTGCCACGACACTTATGGCCAGGCTTTGGCTAACATCCTAATAGCCTTGCAGGTCAGGCTGAGTTAATGTTTCTGAATCCAAAAACTTTCCCTGAAACAATCCAGGTATTATTATAAAAGTGAAGTTTTTCTGTTTCTTGTTTTGTTTTGTTTTCTCAGATGGGAATCAGTGTGGTAGACTCATCAGTAGCTGGCCTGGGGGGCTGTCCATACGCTCATGGGGCTTCTGGGAATGTTGCAACCGAAGATGTTGTTTATATGCTGCATGGACTTGGAATTGAAACAGTAAGAGATCAACTTGTTATCTTCTTTTCTTTGTTTTGGAGTTGGCTAGGAGGGAAAAGAAAACCATCAACAGCAGTTATTCCATTGATTATTAGTTAATAATGCCTCAATTGATCCATTTTCTGTCTTCTGGATGAAACAGTCACATATTAAATGACTTGTACATTTTTTTAAAAACTACAATTGAATGTTACAGGGAAAAACCATATTTTCCAGTATTTAAAAAAAAATAATCCATCCATTTTCTACACCTTTGTCCCTATTGGGGTCAGGAGGGGTGCTGGTGCCCATCTCCTGCTCACGTTCTGGGCGAGAGGCGGGGTACACCCTGGACGGTTTGCCAGTCTGTCGCGCGGCTTTTTAAAATAATATTGCAATTAAATTTTCACCTTTGATCCATTGGGAATAATTGCATTCTGTTTTTGTTTTCTGTCAGTCTGTTTATGCTGTTATTCTGCTTATAAACTTTAAAAATAGATGGATTACTTGTGTTATACTTGAACTTTTCCTCAAATCATTTAAGCTGTGACTCTGTGTTCTCGTGTCAGGGAGTGGACCTCGCAAAGCTGATGGATGCTGGAGCTTTTATCTGTCGAACCATCAACAGGAAGACCAGCTCCAAAGTGGCACAAGCCACCTGCAAACTGTAGACTAAAAAACGTTGGCTTTTTCCCAGGCTATATCATCCTGAGTTTCCTAAATTAAATAAAATAAAGTATAGTTTGATTCAGCCTCTCTAAAAATTGTTGTTAAACATTGTTTTCTGTATTGATAATTATAGCATATTAGTGCCTTATGTAAAATCTGTGATTCGTAAGAGCACTTGTCTTTTACAGGAATGCTTTTGTCAAGTCAGCGACAAAAAAAAAAAAGTCACTTAACTTTAAGTTTCTAATGATGCATGACCCTGTACATACAGATTATGTCACTAATATCACAGCAGAAGATTTAGTTCAGGATGTAACTGTGGAAACCATCATGGCTTTGAAGTTTGGACAATATAATGGTTAGTGAAACTATTTCTTTTTTTAACATAGTGCTCAAGGTTATTTATTTAAATTATCTCTTCAAATCTAAAATGTACATAATTATGAAAGTTTCAAAAATAAAACTATTTTACATTGTAATTTGTGATTGCATTTGTCTACTGATAAATATTGCTAGGATGTTTTAGCATCATCTCATATTGGAAACCTTTGAAAAATTCTGCTTTTAAGTCTGTTTGTTTCATGTTTGACCGGGGAATCCCAGCTTTGACATAAAGTACAGGTACAGTACGTAGCTTTTGCAAAAATATGTTTTTTCACCATGTTGTAACAGTGTAAAGTGAGACGGATAATCTGTGAAAAGATCAAGCGCCTATGGGGAAGGGGTTATGAGTGGGGTATACACAGGAGTGATTGACAGCACTAAGACCCTCTTCCTAGGTCTGATTGGTTGTTTCAGACAGAGCACAGGACAACAGGAAGAAAGCAAAGAAGCTTGATTTATTTGTTTTTTTCAAAGTTTATGTGTTTCATACCATCACAACATAGTGATAGTTGTAACAAATATGTATAAAAAAATATATATTTTATTGAAGTTACATATGGCTACTTTTAAGTCCTCAAGTGTCAGGGTCCTGTAAGTTTTAGATGTGCCCTTGGTCCAACAAATCAAATGGAATAAGCTCATCATCATTCTGTCAAGTTCCAGATAAATATTTGAAACACTTGAATCAAATAGCCTCACCATTCATTTGACTCAGGTGTGCTTGAGAAGGAATCCATCCGAAGGTTTCAGGATGTTATATTTTTAGGGCTGGACCCGAGTTGAGGTCACCTAACAAGTCAACTCACAATGACCAGAGGAGTACTGATATTGTCAAATTTTTGTTGATTTGAGAAAATGATTTTAGACCGTCAACCTGCAAAATGGATTCAATTTTTCAATTTCTGACGGTGCCCACAAGATTTTTTTTTTTTAAATGTTAAAAAAAATTGGGACTCAGGGAGTTCCACAGGCCTCTTAGCAATTGGAGCTTTTCCACACATTCATCCTTTGTTTTCCTGTTGGTATTAGTGAGTTATGAAGAGCAATGCACATGGAGCGAGAGTAGTTCAGGAAGTGGTTTATTTTGTAAGCAATGCATATGAAACCCAGCTCCATCTGTCTCAGTCATTGTGTCCTTGGAGAAGACACTTCATCACCATACCTTGCTAGTGGTGGTCTGAGAGTTAGACTTGACTTCAGTCAGACTGCTGTCAGCTCACCGCCTTAAATGTGTTGTTGATTTGACTGCATCTAGTTTAAGGTATTTTTGAGTTATCTGACTTGATAAAACATAGTGAAAATGCATTGCTATATCATTTATCTGCCTCACTTGAATGGAATGTTCTTTTATTATTTCTATTTTGAAGGGAAAATAAGTGAGACTCATCCCACTATTAAAGAAAACAATCTATGGTATGTTATGTCAATTTGGATTTTTTTCAACTCAGTTTTATTTCTTGACTGTTTCACACACTTACTTAATGAGGACAACAGTTGGAAGAGTAGCTGTCTTGAATTTGGAAAAATTGTGATTCAGATTCCTGTTTCTTCCCCTGCTGCGTGTCGGAGTTCCTCTGGGCAAGGCACATTGTGTTGCCTACAGAGATAAAGCTACCTGGGGTGCAAGCCATTTCTCCGGTTTTTGCTTCTTTTGCCTACACATCTCTTTGCATCAGGGTTTTAACTGCATTTGTCAAAAATAACCCATAAAACCCAACTTGGAAAATGGTTTGTACTTGAATGCCAAGTTTTTCTTCAAGACTGTCCAAAAAATATTGGCAGTCTTGCCAATACATTGTTGTCATAAATGGTGTCTGGAAAAGTTTGGAGTTTTTAAATCAACATTTGCAGGACACCGATGAAAAACAGAAGTCATGGATTATTATTTTTATACGTGTCACTTACATCTCTTCATAGAAATGGTAAATGTCGCAGCTGTAAAGTTAAACACTGTTTCCTACCTCTGGCTAATAAATGTTTTAAAATGAAAGGCTCCTCTTTCATAATATTTTAGGCTTGATTGTCCAACTGCAATAAAAGAATCATTTATATTCAAGTTTTTCACATCGCTACCATTGGGTACCAGTAACAGTAGAGGGCGTCAGATGTACAGTACCTTTTTATGCTTTTATACTTCTTCAGGAAGAAACATATTTTGAGCCATTAATGACCATCTGAGGAACTATTGTGAGTAGATTTCTCATTGTCTCTGTGGAAAATTTCCTGTTCTAAGAAAACAGAAGACAAAACAAAGCATTTCAGCTGCTATGCTTTGAATGACAGGGTTTTTTTTACCTGTCATTAAAAAAAAAAGAAACCTGAATGACAAGTCTAACAGAGAACCTGAGGTTGTTGCGTATTCCAAGAAACATCTGGAAAAGTACGTAGCAGTTATGGGATACAATTTCATCATGACTCACAGCATATTCAGATGCATGTCTGGCACAAATTTACGTCGATGTGAGGATTCATCATAAAACATGACTCGCTCCTTAAATGAAGATTGTCAGGATCCACGTGTAGAATTAAAATCTACGTTCATATTATGTTTTCTCTTTCAGAAGTTGCTTGTTTCTAATAATGAATCTCAATTCAAAAACGGCAAAGACACACATTGTTGTCATACATTTACACTTTTACAAAAAGGACGAATATTAACAGCATCTGCAATCAAGACATTTCCAGGTGACGTCGAGACTGGACTGTTACAGTTCCAAAAGCCACATCCAGGTCTGTCCAGTTTTCATCCAACATGATTCAGTCCTAAAGACAGAGCAAACAGCAGTATTCCCTTGACGTTGACTTGAATCAACAGTGGTCTTGGATCGAGTGAGGTTGTGCACAAGTATGTCAAGACACAAAGAGTCAAAGCAGTACAAACCTGACACAGAGAAAGGATTTAAAAAAATAAAATGCAAAACAAATGCATTTGATTTTGTCTGAGAATAAAAAATGTAATCTCTGGACACCTTTAATACAAACTCTGAAGCATCTACATACCCATGAAGAAGGGTGTCCTTTTCTTCACTGGATTTACATAAAATCAAGATGCTGAAACCATAAACTGAGAGGAAATTAAATTGTAAAAATCCCTTTTTGATGGGTAAACTGTAGATTACGAAATCACTTCCTGACACACCACTGTAGACACGGGCAGGCAGGGTGAATACTTCTACCAGGTGTGTCTTTGCTTCTTTTGTGACACTCCCTCCCCATACCAAAACTCCTCAAAAGTAAAGCTGATAAAACCCTCACTATCTTGTTTTTAAAAGTAGAAGAGCTTAAATGGCACAGATATATTTATAGTATCCAAAACGAACAATCACATATCACCAACAAATCCAACTTAAATTTAACAGTTGACTTGTAAATATTGTGGATGTTGACTTGGAGACCAAAGTTCAAACAATTACTTCAGAGTTTTAGATGCGGACACAAAGTCACAATGAATCCAGTACCAATGACGCAGCTCTGAAACATTCCGTAATTTGGCTCATGAGTCTGCATCTGTAATGTTTTTTAAGGTTTGTGACCTGGGATCCAGCCAAAGCAGTTCTCAGCTTTTGAGCTGTGGAACTGACTTCCATCATGACAATGATAGGGTCAAGTTGGGAGCAGAGGCCCGTATTTTTGGATCTGTCCCAAGTACTTCTAGCCGAGTTGTTGCTTTGTATACATTCTTGAAGGGTGGAGGTTTATCGTCCCTAGCTCTCTCTGGCAAAACCATGTTGAAGTTGTGGAAATTGTCGTTAGTGTAGTCGTCATGATGCACAATGCTGCGATTGTGCTTTTTGCACTTGTTTATGATCCGTGCAATTCTCTTGGCGATGAGATAAATGATCTCACATATGTTCAGGATGATACAGAGGGCCGAAGCTCCAACCATGAAGTAGGTGAAGACCTTCTTCTCCGTTGGGTGACCGATGTAGCAATCAACCACGTTGGGACAGGGCATCACCTGGCACTTGACGAGCCTCGGTAGGTAGAAGCTGTCGTAGATGTGGTGAAGGATGTAGAGGAAGGCAATCTCAATACCCGTTTTTGCAAAAAGGCTTAACAGGTAGGTCCACCACAGCCCACCATGTTTCTTGCCAGTGTTGTTGTACAGCTTGCTGTCATCACCGAATTTGGCCCTGTGCTTTCGCTCGCGGTCTTTGCGGTACTCCACATGCATCACCACCATTAACGAAGGGCAGGTGACGAAGATGAGCTGCAGGGCCCACAGGCGGATGTGGGAGATGGGGAAGAAGTGATCGTAGCAGACGTTAGCACAGCCAGGCTGCTTGGTGTTGCAGTCAAAGTCCTTCTGCTCATCCCCCCAAACCCGTTCAGCTGCGACCACGTACACCAGCACCCTGAACACAAACACCACCGACAGCCATACCCGTCCAAACGCAGTGGAGTATTTGTTCACTCCACTGAGGAGGTTTTGGAAGGTTTTCCAGTCCATGTTGCTGATGTTGCTGACTCGTCGTCAAATATCTGTTGTCTGAAATTATTCTCTCTATGGTTACTGTTTCTCCTTTCACCTGGAAGTGGAAATGTAAAAAAACAAAAAATGGGTCACCAACGTCATGTTTTCAGAGCCAGTTGAGTTTCAGCCAATTATATATATATATATATATATATATATATATATATATATATATATATATATATATATATATATATATCAAGAGGGCGTTTGTAAAATCACAGCCCAAACTGCCAACAAAGGCCACAAACTTTTTTTCTTTTTACACACCCACAAACTGTTTGTTCAGTCTTTTCTTTAGGGCATTTTTAGGCAAATAGTCACTATGGAAATGAGGTTAGCACATGCCAGTCTCCTTTTGTGAGTATTTTCACGTAGAAGAGTTGAAGGAAATCTATTATTGAGTCTTAAAGCAAGATATAATTAATTTAAAAAAACGGCTTTTACGCACTAACTGTCCGCGCTCTCTGAACATATCGTCGTGTGAAGAATCGCTCTGAGACGATGCTGTCATGTTCTAAATCACAGTCGGTTACAAACCAGTCGATCCGCTCAGTGCGCACCAGCAAACCGCGACCTCAAGCATTCATTTTCTGTCTGAAACGCCAAACATGAACGTTGCCAAAACCTTCTAACACATTGTCAGAATCGTTAATGTTCACTTACTTTGAGACGTTTACTCCATATCTCTCTAAAACAACCGCCGGCTTGTTGATTTTCCCATTTATTCCGCCTCAGTTCAACTTCGTGCCGATCTTTTGACGCACGGATTTGGCTCCCGCGGACAGGTAGGAGCGCAGAGAGGAGAAATGTGGCCGTGGGTGTGGTCAAAGAAAACGAAGGAAGGCTGGAGCCGGCCCAGATGTTCCTCTCCGCCCTGCTTCTCTCCTTCTCACTCTCAAAGCAGCTAAACCGGGTTTTTATATTTATGGTGATTCTGAAGTGGCTCTGGCGAGATTACTTCAGCTTTTGTCTTGGTGGATGTCAGCGAACCCACTGGGCCCAGGAGCTAGGAGGAAAAATCCAGTTGATCAGAGTATGCAAAATCCAATCTGGTTGCTCAGTGAGATCTTGAACAGATGTTAATAATATTAGCTCAGATTTTATTGAACTTCCCAACACATCTATCTGGGACACTATGAGTCCCACATTCCACCCAGAGTTGTCCAGTTGGAATCTTATACAGACAATTCACATCAGACAATTTCTGTATCTAAGCTACACACTGTGTCATCTGCATTTCTAGCCACATGGCCCTATATGTAAATGTTCCCTGGGCTGGAACTACAGCTGGTGCCTACTTAACAGTGTGCAGTCAGCTCCTGGGATCAAATTCAGATCTGGGAATTATATGAATTTAAACTTTAACCTTGTCTCAGCTTCACGTTCCAAAGCCAGCCTGATTTGCTGATTGAAATGTTAAGTGAACAGGCTGCCACTTGCAATGCCAGCCAAAATAATGCATTGATCTAGATGTGTTATTTCCAAACACAGCAGCAACATGTTGACTAGAACATAGTGTACAATTGTGTATGTGAGAGAGACCCTGTGCTGTTAATGTAGAAATCATCAAAAATCCAAATAAAGCTGTTTTTTTATATATATATATATATTTTTTTATACAGGTGGACAAATTGGATTTTGAGCACAGGTGAGAAACATGTGACTTTTCTTCTTTAGATCTAAACTCTTGGAGGTTCTTTTTCTTGTTTTGTTGTCTTTCTCCTCTGGCTCAGTCAAAATCATCTTTTTCAGTGAATATATTCACTTCAATATGCCAAGAATGAAGGAATCTTGTGTATTTTTGATAGGTTGTCATCTGGCTGTGCAGATGGTCGTGTGCACAGGAAATTACTGTAATTACATAGTGTCTGTACAGACCCCTCCTTTTCCTAGCCTGGTTCCTGTCTACATCTGTAACAGTTGCTAGTGGCTTAGAAGTCTTCAGCTACATTCTGTTTCCAAAAAGTATAGCGTTGGCTTAAAAATGTGGTACAATGTATTTCTCTCCACTGTGTTCTTTCAAAACACATGAGCATCATCTCCACTGAAGGAAATTAAATTGTGTTGAGTGTGACTGATTTAGCGATGTATAAATCTTTATAGGTGCAAAGTTTTATTCTCATTTTTATTCAGTTATCAGTAGGTTTGCTAACAGGGCAGAACTTTTAGGTCAGGATGATGAGAAACTTCTGACTTTTTGAAACACATTATATAGATAAATTAAACACAAAGTCATGTTGTAATGACTTAATTTCTGTTAATTGTACTGATTTAATTTTGACAGTTGACATTACAATAAAATATTACAAAAGATCAATAAAAACCATTGTTAAAACCTGTTAAAATTGTGAGTTTTTTTTATCTGATCAGATTTAAGAAAAAAAAATTACCTTATCGATGCATATTCTAAACTGTTCTAAGCCTTTACTGTTAGTACAGTAAAGGATAATCAAAATAATTTTTCTCATTTTGAAGCATTCAATGCTTTCTTTAGTCAAAGTTTGCAGCATACCTACCAGGTGTTTTTGCTTTGCAGTCTTTGGTTTTAAAGGTGAACACTCAGTCTTATTGTTTTGAGTTTGAGTTTCCAGGAACAGGACTGTCTCCTTGTCAGAACATGTGATGGTTCTAGACAGCGCACGCAAGAGACACACCTTAACAGGAAAGCATATTTTTGTTGTGTTTATCCTTTGACTTGTATATATTTGTTGCTTGGGGGATGTCTTACTTAGAGATTTGCTATGGGTTTGAAACAAAAAAAAAAACTTTTTGCATGCTCTTTCATGCAGATTTATATCACAATACTATTTAAAAAGAAGCATTGTGTGCCTTACAATGTTTTAACTTTACTCTGCTCATATAACAGCCCAGCCATTCACCTCACAGGGTCTCAGTATCATTCACCTTCTGAAATTATGTAAGGTGTAGCTTTTGTGTCCTTTCTTTAGTCTGTGTACTAAAATCCCTGGGTTGTGCCAGAGCAAGCCAGTTCTTGCAGACTTGTTCCTTCTCAGAACAATAACATTCTCTATCTACATAGCAGAGGATAAGAAAAAAAAGTATTTTCATTTGGTACCAAAGTCCAATTTGAATAATTTAGTCATGTGTTCCAAGAACAGAAAAAGAAACCCTTGGTTTCTAAGAAACTTCAATTTGTTTGTTCCTTCTCAAAAGGAACAAAGAAAAATGAGGAACAAGGAAAATGTAGCGTGAGATAAGATCATCATTTTTTATGGAGGCAGTCGTCAACTCTTGCATGTTAGAAATGGAGAATGAACCTTGAAGAATTGGAGAATGGAGAGTTGTTAGGACAAAGCTTCTCTACATTGTTTATTTGTGCTTTTCAGAAAAGTCATGTCTTCCACAGTTGCTTTTATCATTTTAGTGGACAATAATTTCTTTCAGACTGGGGGGAGGGGTGCAAACAATTTTTCTAGACACTACATGAAGAACTGGTTCCAGTCTGGATAGAACACACCCAAAGGAATCCATAGCGTGACTCAACCTCTGCCAGCGACAATCCCGACAGGACGGATACAACAGACTGAAAGGCACAACTTTCAACTGCGGGCTCTGAAAAAGGAAGGAAGCCAAGAAATTGTGTGAGAAGGTCTTTCCACAAGACCTCCCAATCACATGAGGTTCCCATCGCGAGTGGGAGGGCAGGATTGTTTACAGAGACACACAGTCCGACTGGAGAAGAGGGATGATGGCCAAAGGCAATCACATGTGTAACATCGAAGCAACTCTGAGTTGTTATTACGTCAATGAGGAACAAAATCTTGAAGGAAGTTTTCAAATACTTCCTGTGAAAGGTTTCACTCAAGGAAGACTATTTATTTACTTGCTTACACAAACAGGAATATCAGTCATAAAAAGTATTTTGATGCATGTAGGCATCTAGAAAATGACTTGCTGAAGTTTCAAACAACAATCAGACTGGAAAAGACAGGAGATTGATGTTGTATTGAATTGTGAGTGGTTTGGGTGCCTGAGTATTTCAGAAGCTGCTAACATACCGAGATGCTAATGGACGACCATGCCTTGCTCCTACAGAGAATGTGCTGAAAAAAAAAAGCTTGAGGAGACTGGTTTGACAAGATAGAAAGAAAACTGTTGCTCAAGTCGCAATCAGCTTCAAAAATGCTCTCATGTTGGATTCTAACAATTCATTATCATCCATCACAGCATAAACCAAAACAACCAACCATACGCACGCACTCTCACATGTAAAGGCTTTTTAGGATGGTTGATGAATTTAACATGTATTGTTTTTGGAATGAAGCCAGAGTATCCAGGCAGAATTTGGGGAGAACATTAAAACTATGTTGAGAAAGTCCTCAACTAGCATCAAAAACCAGGATGTTCTGATTGCAAGAAAGTCTTGCATGCAGCTGAGGCGTCATATCATAAAGCACAATGAGTTCAATGGCCATTAGATGTGGTGCAACTGTAGATGTGCAGCTGACAAATATGAAGCAACTCTGAGTTGCTACTGCGTCAATAAGCACCAAAATCTTGAAGGAAGTTTTCCAATACCTTCCTTGAATTTATGGTATGAATTATCAAGCTCCAAACTGACCATCTGTCTTAAAACTCTTCAGAAAAAAATCTAAGTTATTCTAATACCCGGAAATATTCAAAAAATGTTTCTAAAAGTGAAAAAGAGATCTAAAAAGTTTAAATTAAGGTAGTTGTCTCAGAGATCAGAGATTCTTAGCAACTTCTTTACACTACTGTAAAGAAGTTTACAGTAATGTATAGTAATGTAAAGATCATATCCTTCATACGAGTTTTAGAGTTGATTTGTTCAAAACAGTGATTAGATTATCTTTATCTCAACAGGACAGATCATCCAGTTTCCATCTAAAAGGGCAAACATGGGAAAAGGAGCTCATCAGCACTGGGAAGGAAGATGAATTTACTGAGGAATGAAAATATCTGAAGACAACAAGAGAGCTTGGCACCATCATCATCATCATCATCATTGTTCAGCAACTAAGCAGTGCTTTGATGACATACCTTAGTCATTCTAATTTAGATTTAGGTCAAAACGTTCTCCACCAATTAGTTGGAAAAACAGATCACCGATGAAAAAAAACAAAAAAACAACTGACCCACTTTACAAACACGTGAATCAGGCAAACATTCATAAATTTCAAGGTGTGAAGATGAATCAGCTAAATTCAAAGAACTGAATTTACAGTCAGACTCAACTGCAGGTGACCAGAACCAGATTGTAAGTGTTTTTTTTATTATTTAATTATTTTTTAATTTTTTATCACTCTTTTTAGAATTTGTTTTATAAAAGTCTGGATTTTTTTATATCATCTGAACTCTTAGTAGATGAGATTCATTTTTGTTTCTTTGTCTTTTCTGTATGGAGAAAATATCTTTTAACAATCAAATGTTTCATCGACAATAACAAGTTAACTCGATATCCCAAACAAAGGTCACAAACTATGATACTCCCAGTGTCTTTCTTCAGAGATGAGATAAAACTAAAGGGTGTCAAATATCTCTACTTTCCTCTCCTCACTTTTAGAATGAAGTTCTTTGTTTTATATCCAGACAATAGAACCAGATCTGTGTGAACTCCACTTCTCACCCAAAACTTGGGTGAGAGTTTTGGGTGTGTTTTGGGTATGTGCATGCAAACAACCTCATGCATGCACATACCCAAGAGCAGTTCAGAGAGACCAAGTGACCAAACAGTCGGGTTTTTTTTGGATATGGAAAGAAGCTGCTTACTGAAAAAAAAAAAAAAAAAAAGCACAGGCTTGTGGAAAACATGCTAACTCCATGTGGATTTCAGCTGCTCCACCTTGCAGTCAAAATTTATATCCTGTTTATCTCACCACACTTATCTAGACTTTACCACTTTCATAGAAGCAAATATTGCTCTTTTTTTCTCAAATTATATGTACAGTATTTTACATTTTATTTTTGTGTGTTTTCTTACATGTTAATGTTACCTAGTGCAGATGGAGTTCATCCTCTTTAACTAGTAAATGCATCTATTCAAGAAATCCTTTGCTCATGTCTTATAAGTTTTCTTTTGAAAGTTTTATCTCCATGATGCTGCTCTTTACCTCAAAACAAAAATTTAGCAAGGTAATTTAGCAAACTTACTGCTTGAGAAAATAAGGGAAATGTTTGTTCTTGTTAAAAAGTCTGAATATATCAGGCTCGAATGTCAAATCTTCCATCTATCTACTAATGTCCTTTAGAAATTACAAAGTAAGGTAATAAAATACTCGTTTCCATCTGTATACCAGCTGTTAAAGTAATTTACAATAAAGTGTACGTTTCTATTATTATTCTTTAAAAATCAGAAGCGTTTTGTACTGTAGCTTGCCTTAAAAACTCTTCATACGTTTCCAGTGAACTACAGATGCCTGCAGTTAATCCAGTCCTTGTTTGTAGAGTTCAATTTGACTGGTTTACTTTTGTATATACCATTCTGTCACTGGTTGTTCTGCCAAGATAGATGTAAACAGCTGCATTTCTAAACCTTAGCAAGGCAAATAAGGAGAGAGTTGCAAATGCCCCTTAATTCTGACAACATCACCGCTTTTGCACATTGCAGAGAAACTACTGTAATCAACGGTATAAAAAAAGAAAAAAGGCAACATAAACACAGATTCTTGTATTGGGTGGAGTCACTCTTCAGAGGAGATGAATCAAATCATGGAGTGGGTGGCTCCTCCTCAATGTACCAATATACCCAAACAATGAAAGCACTGCTCCTGGCAACAGGATAATCAGCCTGGCCAATGGGGTGCAAGGCTTTTTACGAAACAAATGGAAAAGCAAGAATGAGACAGGAAGAAAGGCTGAGATCTTTGCTCAGCCACAAGGCTTGTGCAGAGTCAACAAATCCTTTTCTGTAGAGATGGTGTATGGGTTTACACTGCTCTTAAACACATTCTCCTCTCTTCCAGCCGCCATGTCAGTTTACCAAAAAAATGAGAAAGAAGCCCTTTAAAACATAAAATAATATTTATTACAAAATATTAACACGTATGCAGTGAGGTCGAATGTAAAATATCCTCATCCTGATCAGCTGTGTTTATGAAAACCACATTCTTGCCCCCAGCATAAATACAAAAAGCAGGAAAACACAACACTAACAAAAACAAGTAATATCCAACGTCAGGCTCTGAGGGAAAGGGGCAGACTCTCAGCAGGCTGAACATTTGAGGTTGGGCTTAAGCACAGGGAAAATCTTACACAGAGGAACCACATGTGCTGGTAAAACTTGCCAAACCAAGGAGTGACTCACGCTTCTGATCCCAAGTCTAAATCAAACAAAGCGACCTATGAAACGTTTGTTTTTCTTTCTTTAAAACAACAGTAGAGCTTTTCACTTACAATACATTATATTTACCAACAGTATGACACGTATATTCTGATCCAGAAATACAAACTCTGTACAAAAAATCAGTCTTTGAGGTACTTTATACCAACAAGTCTTGAGGCAGCTAGGAGTGCCGGCTTTTGCTTGCTCTCCGTCTCTGTGCTCTTTCAGAAAGTCTTTGCTCTCGCGTCTCATGACACAGCTGCGCTGTATGAGGGTGCAGGCGTTTCGGGTGTTTTTTTCCCTGTATGTTTCATAGCGTTCGATTCCATCAGACTGGATCTGCTGGACAACGTGTTGGTCACGCGATTTGAGTGATGATCCCCATTGACTAACTCGTGGAGGCGTTTCCCCACCAGGTAGATGACCTCGAAGATGGAGAGCAGGACGCAGGCCAGGCTGGTGACCACCATGAAGAGGGTGAAGATTTTCTTCTCAGTAGGCCGAGAGATGAAGCAGTCCACTGTGTTGGGACATGGTTCCTGTGTGCACTTCATTAGAGGGGGGAAGTCATACCCCTCATAGATGTGGTAGAGAAGGTAGACAAAGGTCACATCCACCCCTATTTTGAAAAGCAGAGTGAGGACATAGGTCCACCACAGACCTCCGCGTTTCTTCCCAGTGTTCAGGTAAAGTCGGCGGCAGTTTTCGCCATACTTTTCCCTGTGCTTTTTCTCCCTTTCTTCCCTGTAGCTCACATGCATCACCACCAGTAATGAGGGGCAGGTGACGAAGATGAGCTGCAGGGCCCACAGCCTGACATGGGACACTGGGAAGAAGTGGTCGTAGCAGACGTTGTGGCATCCTGGCTGAGCCGTGTTGCATTTGAAGTCTTTCTGCTCATCTCCCCACACCTTTTCAGCCGCCACCACAAACACCATGACTCTGAAGAGGAACACAATGGACAGCCACACTCTACCGAAGGCTGTGGAGTACTTGTTCACCCCACTGAGCAAGCCTTGGAGGAATGCCCAGTTCATGATGGAGTTTATTCACAGACTGTCTCTTCCTGCTGATCGAAGGCAGACAAAAGGCTTTCCTCTGGGCTTAAATGTCACAGATAGATCTCGGGTATCTGAAACAAACAGAATCTGAAGTCAATCATTGAGAAAGCAACAAAACACAAAGAAACGTCAGTAACGTTGTGTTCTGGTCGTTTAGTTTAAACAGTATTGAATCACTCCAAAGATCGCAAAAATACACATAATTCTTATTCATCTTGTTAGATCTAATTGACATGAGCATTCATTTCTTTCTTACAATGTTGTAACTCTCGCTAAATCGAGCCCATTACTTTCCATTGCCGAAATAAAAACTTCCAAGTTTGTACATTCCGTGCGTAATTTGCGCGCTGACACGCGTTCCCCCATGAAATCCACTAAAACAGCTTCACATCTCAGCCTGATCTAGTATGTTCGCTTGTGTCTGTTTGAGGTTACTCACAGTTTAGAGCTCCAAAACAGTCGCGGTGCCTCAGAGTCGCGGCAGCGCAGCAGTCCGTGGCTCAACAACCCCGACGAGAGTCTGGGCAGATTCACTCCCCGGACTGGAACGGAGCTGAAAGTTGGGGTGGAGCTGCGCGCTTGGTGTGTGACGTCCCACCGCGCTGACCTGTTCAGGTGTGGCTCCACAACCTTAAAACTTGTTCGACCAATGAAAGGTAGAGTCTCGACTCTTACGTAAAACACGAACCAAACAATTTGGTTTTCATTTGAAGATATAACGATTTAACAAAAGTTGTTTTTTTACTTCTCTCTTTTTTTTCTTTTTGTTTTACTTTTTAAAAAACATGAAAAAGAAGAAAGAAAGAAAAAAACCTTTCCAAAAAATATTTGAAAGGCATCTCAATTGTTTAAAGTATCATAAATAAATTGATTTACTGAAATATTTCAGTTCAAACAATGAAGGTTTCACACATTTTTCACACACTGAGTGTATTGTATATATTTATAAGTTACAGTTTTATTTCAATCATCTTGGATAAATAAAACACCAAACTTTACCTAAAAAAACATTAAATAATACAAATGAAAACCATTTTTATACATAAAAGTTTAATTATTATTGACACCAATAGGCAAGCTACAAAAGTCAATGCTAAAGAAAGTTGTTCAGAATGTTGTATCAAAGCACATTACAGGAAAGTTTAGTGGAAGGAAGAAGGGTTGTAGAAAAGGTGAAAACCATTGGATTGACTGGACTGTTGTTCTGTGGTCTAAAGTTTCTTCTTAAAGTTAAAGAGCAAACTTAATTGAAAATTTCATTGAAATGCATTTGATTTAGAAATAAAGGTCACAGAATTTGAAGGAATTGTAGAAAGGCACTGCACTGAAATCCAGCATAAAGGTTCCTCAGAGAGACATGATTCGTTTTGATTCAAAGCTAAGTGTCTTAATTTATCAGCCAGACCCAATGCAGGCACCCGATTAACTCACTTTGCAAGCAAACTCTCCTGTGTTTACTAGGGGTGCACCGATTTATCGGCCAGCTGATTTATCAGTGCCGATTTTCTTAATTTTGTGAGATCAGTGATCAGCTGATTTTTACATGTGAAGCCCATCTTATCCACCAGTGCTATTAACCTCGGCAAAGGAATAAAAATAAACCACTGCGCTTTTCTTTTATCCTGTGAGAGGTTTGACTCACAAACCAACCAACCAGGTCATGTTTGCAAGTTTACAGTTAACAATAGTCACCCATTGTTGAAAATATATTAAGCAACTTTTCAGAAAAAAAACTGGCATCGGCCAGAATTGGTAAGTTAGGTTTTTTCAAAACATTGGTAACCGGTGATCATCCAGAAAACTGCAATCGGTGCATCCCAGTGTCTACCTAATACCTCATCAGTGCCACGGCCTTGCAGCCTCTGTTATGTGTGGCTCTACGTTGATTAAAACCAACTAAGAAGTGAATGCATATGTCTTTTAGTACTTTTCTTAATTAAGTCAATTTTTTTTTTTCATTGTGTGATAGAATTATTTTTCAGCAAAACAAACTGATTTCTTGGACTACTTTTGGAATAAGCCAAACGTAGCAGAAATAAACACTTGAAATATATCCATTAGTGTGTGTAATGACCGTCTAATGAGTATGGCTTTTTGAATTTTATTACTGAAATAAATGACCTTTTCAGTGAAATTCCACTTTTTTTTTACATGTACCTGTTTCAGTTCATCGGTTTGCATCTGAATAGGTCTGATTGTCATATCAACATAGTCTCAAAACTCAGCATTAAAGAATGTTGTAATTCAGCGTTAAAGAATGTTGTAGTGTATGCTGGGTTTTATTTCCTGGAAACAAAAGTGCAAATCTGGAAAGTCCAGTTCACAATCCCAGGGGTATTATTCAGGTGAAATCATTCATTAAAGGTGAACCAAATTTCACTCCTTATTGGTTCAATAATTACTTTTACACTGAGCAAAATTACAACCATGTAATAAGAAACTTTACAGATCAAAATTTGATGTGTACATACAGTTAATAGAGTTAAAAGAAATGGACTGAGCACATAACTTTGAGGGATCCCAGTGCATAATAAAATTGGAGAGTTGCTGAATCTCTCCAGCATGAAATTCAGAATCCAGAAACAGGCAGCATTATTCTGGCTTAGCAACATAAGTCTCTGGGGAATGATTGTAAATGAACGAGCACTTTGTTTGTATCCTTTGTGGATACAATTTGGATTATAGGCAACTGGTAACTAGTGATGCAAGCCAGTTAAAACATTTTATTACTGAGTGCATTAAGATGGTAAACATTTATGCAGGACAGTGAAAAGTTTCTACCTTCAAACTTAAAAGTATAAGGAACCAGACTTTATGTGGGTTTTTCAAAGTTTTCACTCAAACTTTGTATGATCTGTCACTCAACTTCTTTCCAGTTCTGGTCACTTAGATATGAAAAAAGAAAATAATTCAGAGCTAACAGATCTGCTAGCAGATGACCAGTATTTGGAAATCAAGGATGAAGAGGGAAAAATAATTAATAAGTTTTAGCAAGTCTCTCAAATTGACAGGTTGGGTAAATCATCAGATCTCTCTCCTTGCAACTGAAATAATTTTTAGAAATTAATGATAACACCTTTTTCACAGTTTATATGCAACTCAGACATAAAAAGATGACACTGAAATTACTGAAAAATGCTTACCAACCCGTGATTTAGTTATAAAATGAGTTTATTGAAATATTTACATAACAGAAATTGATTTTAGTTAAAAAAATGTCTTAAACATCTGCCATCAGACACACACAAACACTGTTTTTTTTTTTACTCATTCATACACATTCTCCACAGTCTGAGATGATCACTTTTTGTTTTGGTTTGCCATCCTTCGTTCCCTGAGCCTGGAGGAATAAAGTAAAGTCAGATTACATTTAAATCCAACTTATTTTTAAAAGATGACCAACTCCTTAAAAGCAGAATTTTATGCAGGATTAGAAACTTGCAATTCAGTGAAATAAGCAGATTGTGGCTCGATTTCTTACTTCCATTGCACGCAGCACATCCATTCCCTCCACCAGATCGCCGAACACAACATGTTTCCCATCCAACCAGTCCGTTTTATCTGTGGTGATGAAGAACTGAGAGCCGTTTGTGTTTGGCCCAGAGTTGGCCATGGAGAGTTGCCCTGTGTGAACAAGCACGCAACTTTAGGCAAACATTGTTAGGATCAGAAAAAAACAATCCACTTACTGCCGGATTCATTACCTGGAGCTGTGTGCTTGAGGACAAAGTTCTCGTCATCAAACTTTCTGCCGTAGATGGATTTCCCGCCGGTGCCGTTGTGGTTGGTGAAGTCTCCTCCTTGGCACATGAACTGAGGGATAATGCGATGGAAGCTGCTGCCTTTGTAGCCAAACCCCTTTTCATGTGTGCACAAGCAGCGGAAGTTCTCTATTGAATTTAAAAACAGTGTAAAGTTTTAGCTAAACATTATATTAAATCTGTAGCTTCATTTTAAAGCTGAAGAAAACTGGTTTGTGTTTTTCCCCTTATTTCTTCGATGCAGAAGACTTGAGTCATATTTCACATGTTGCTGCTGGAATTTGGAGGCATTTAAAAGCCTGCCTGTATCCTGACGTTTAGGCCTAAAATGTTGAGATGGCAACACAAACTGCACATTACTGTGAAATGTTGTAAGGTAAGAATTTTATTTATATAGCACATTTTCAGCAACAAGGCATTTCAAAGGGCTTTGCATGATTTAGAGGAAATACAAACAAAATAAAAGAAAAGCAAGAGAAAAATACAAGTATTAAAGTATGGAACTACATATTGGTTCCTCATGTTTAATAATAAATACAGATTTATTAACTAGTAGGGGTTTCTCTGGATTCATGACTTGATGTTGTTTCTCTGTGTTTGATTCTCTAAAGTTGATGGGGCTAAATGTTGATCTAAGGTAATGATTAGTTTTTTTGGATTCTAAGTTTCTTCTAATTCCTTAAGTATATAAACTAAATGTCTGTTCTGAGAGTAGTTCCTCTGGAAACCATTGCAGATGAGATGCTAAAAGACATATCATTTTGTCTTTTTGCTTTGTGTCAATTAGAAACTTAAAAAATAATAAAAAATGAACCTACACCACAGAATCCCACCAGGACATCTTTTGGCTAAGCAAGAAAGAATCTTCATTCTTCATTCTTACAATCCTTTGATGTCAATCCTACAACGTGTTTAAGGACTTTGTACAGACCTACTGTCATTGGAACAATGTCGGCACGGAGGAGGAAGCGCAGCCTCCCTGCTGGCTTGTTCCCAATCTTTATATCCATGTAGACCTGTGGATTCACTCTGCCCTTCTTCGCTGGAGGCTCACCCTGCAAATAATAAATTATTCTCCACTTATTTAAGTATTCCAGACTGAAAACATGGGTCAGGATTCATAAATATATTTTAAATCAAAATGTAAGAACCAAATTCTTAAAGAGTTATTAGTTTCATTTTAGTATTATTTTCATTTCATCATGATTTAAAATAAGTACAATATATTTATGACAGAAACTTCTGCAGTGGTCAGATTTTAAATATGGAGCCTGTAAAAAGAATAGAAGCAGAAACACTGGTGCATGTGTGGATGGATGTGCAGACAAATAAACAGGCAGATGAAGGAATGACAGGAGACAGTAGAATTGAATAAAGAAAGAAATGATGATGAGAAAGGAAGAGACATGATGTGGCTTTCAGAAAATGTGATGTTGAACAATATCAATAAATAAAAATTGTTTTATTTTTCCATAGATTTCCAAATGCAAACATTTCTTAAATTAAATTTTCTACTTTTGCAAAGTAATTCAATAATTTATGTTATCATAAATCCTTCATAAGAGATGCTGAAAAATCTCTTATCTGGAAGCAAATAAGTGTCTCTTTGATCTCATTTAACTACATTTACTAAATAAAAAATGACATTATCATCCTGACAGAGCCACACTGCTACACACAATGGTATTTACATTTGTAAATATCCAAATTAAAATATGATCCAATTCTGATCACATTAACTTTCATAATTTATATTTAGAATTTGCAT